TGATGTGCTGGTTTCTGCTGGGCTTAAGGTGCTGGTTGCTGCTGGGTTTGATATGCTTGTTGCTGCTGGGCTCAAGAAGCTGGTTGCTGCTGGGGTCGATGTGCTGGTTGCTGCTGGGGGCGATGTGTTGGTTGCTGCTGGGGGCGATGTGTTGGTTGCTGCTGGGATCGATGTGCTGGGTGCTGCTGGGGGCGATGTGCTTGTTGCTGCTGTGGTCGATGTGCTAGTTTCTGCTGGTGTTAATGTGCTGGTTCCTGCTTGGATCCATGTGCTTGTTGCTTCTGGGGTCGATGTGCGGGTTGCTGCTGGAGTTAATGTGCTGGTTTCTGTTGTGTTGGATGTACTGGTTGATGCTGGGGTCGATGTGCTGTTTGCTGCTGGGGGTGATGTGCTGGTTGCTGCTGGGGTCAATGTGCTGGTTGTTGCTGGAGTCGATGTGCTGGGTGCTTCTGGGGTCGACGTGCTGGTTGCTGCTGGGGTCGATATGCTGGGTACTGTTGGGGTCGATGTGCGGGTTGCTGCTGGAGTTAATGTGCTGGTTTCTGTTGGGTTTGATGTACTGGTTGATGCTGGGGTCGATGTGCTGGTTGCTGCTGGGGTCGATGTGCTGGTTGTTGCTGAGGTCAATGCGCTGGTTTCTGCTGGGGTCGATGTGCTGGGTGCTGTTGGGGTCGATGTGCGGGTTGCTCCTGGAGTTAATGTGCTGGTTTCTGCTGGGTTTGATGCACTGGTTGATGCTGGGGTCGATGTGCTGGTTGCTGCTGGGGTCAATGTGCTGGTTGTTGCTGGAGTCGATGTGCTGGGTGCTTCTGGGGTCGACGTGCTGGTTGCTGCTGGGGTCGATGTGCCAGTTATTGCTGAGGTCAATGCGCTGGTTTCCGCTAGGGTCGATGTGCTGGTTGCTGCTGGGGTCGACGTGCTGGGTACTGTTGGGGTCGATGTGCGGGTTGCTCCTGGAGTTAATGTGCTGGTTTCTGTTGGGTTTGATGTACTGGTTGATGCTGGGGTCGATGTGCTGGGTGCTGTTGGGGTCGATGTGCTGGGTGCTGCTGGGGTCGATGTGCTGGTTGTTGCTGAGGTCAATGTGCTGGTTTCTGCTGGGGTCGATGTGCTGGGTGCTGTTGGGGTCGATGTGCGGGTTGCTCCTGGAGTTAATGTGCTGGTTTCTGCTGGGTTTGATGCACTGGTTGATGCTGGGGTCGATGTGCTGTTTGCTGCTGGGGGCGATGTGCTGGTTGCTGCTGGGGTCAATTTGCTGGTTGTTGCTGGAGTCGATGTGCTGGGTGCTTCTGGGGTCGACGTGCTGGTTGCTGCTGGGGTCGACGTGCTGGGTACTGTTGGGGTCGATGTGCGGGTTGCTCCTGGAGTTAATGTGCTGGTTTCTGTTGGGTTTGATGTACTGGTTGATGCTGGGGTCGATGTGCTGGGTGCTGTTGGGGTCGATGTGCTGGGTGCTGCTGGGGTCGATGTGCTGGTTGTTGCTGAGGTCAATGTGCTGGTTTCTGCTGGGGTCGATGTGCTGGGTGCTGTTGGGGTCGATGTGCGGGTTGCTCCTGGAGTTAATGTGCTGGTTTCTGTTGGGTTGGATGTACTGGTTGATGCTGGGGTCGATGTGCTGTTTGCTGCTGGGGGCGATGTGCTGGTTGCTGCTGGCGTCAATGTGCTGGTTGTTGCTGAGTCCAATGTACTGGTTTCTGCTGGGGGCGATGTGCTGGTTGTTGCTGGTGTTAATGTGCTGGTTCCTTCTGGGATCCATGTGCTGGTTGTTGCTGGGGTCGATGTGCGGATTGCTTCTGGGGTCAATGTGCTGTTTGCTGCTCTGTTCGATGTGCTGGTTGCTGCTGGGTTTGAGGTGCTGGGTGCTATTGGGGTCAATGTGCTGGTTTCTGCTGGAGTTAATGTGCTGGTTTCTGCTGGGTTTGATGTACTGGTTGTTGCTGGGGTCAATGTGCTGGTTGCTGCTGGGGGCGATGTGTTGGTTGCTGCTGGGGTCGATGTGCTTGTTGCTGCTGTGGTCGATGTGCTGGTTTCTACTGCTGTCAATGTGCTGGTTCCTGCTGGGATCCATGTGCTGGTTGTTGCTGGGGTCGATGTGCTGGTTGCTGCTGGGGTCGATGTGCTGGGTGCTGTTGGGGTCGATGTGCGGGTTGCTGCTGGGGTCGATGTGCTGGGTGCTGTTGGGGTTGATGTGCGGGTTGCTGCTGGAGTTAATGTGCTGGTTTCTGTTGGGTTCGATGTACTGGTTGCTGCTGGGGTCGATGTGCTGGTTGCTGCTGGGGTCGATGTGCTGGTTGCTGCTGGGATCGATGTGCTGGGTGCTGCTGGGGTCGATGTGCTGGTTGTTGCTGGGGTCGATGTGCTGGTTGTTGCTGGGGTTGATGTGCTGGTTGCTGCTGGGATTGATGTGCTGGTTGCTGCTGGGATCGATGTGCTGGTTGTTGCTGGGGTCGATGTGCTGGTTGCTGCTGGGATCGATGTGCTGGTTGTTGCTGGGATCAATGTGCTGGTTGTTGCTGGGATCGATGTGCTGCTTGCTGCTGGGATCGATGTGCTGCTTGCTGCTGGAATCGATGTGCTGGTTGCTGCTGGGATCGAGGTGCTG